TTATGAACGAAACACAAAATTTGGTCATCTCAAAAATCTCCGATATTATTCTTCCACAAGACTTTGAAGAGTCAATAAATGACATGCCCATGCATTCTGCCCCAGGCCCAGACTCGTGGAACTCCGTGCTCATCAAGAATTGCAAGAAGCCCCTATTGCGTGCCTTCAGCATTTTATGGAGAGGGAGCATGGACACAGGGGTCATCCCACACACACTAAAAACAACAGACATAGCCCCACTCCACAATGGTGGCAGTAAAGCAATTGCAAAGAACTACAGATAGATAGCACTAACATCCCATATCATAAAAATCTTTGAGAGGGTTCTAAGAAGCAAGATCGCCAACCACCTAGATACCCATCAATTACACAACACAGGGCAACACAGGTTTAGAGCAGGTCGCTCCTGCCTATCCCAGCTACTGGACCACTATGACAAGGTCCTGGATGCTGTAGAGGATAAACAAAATACAGATGCAGTATACACAGACTTTGGAAAAGCTTTCGACAAATGTGACCATGGTGTAATAGTGCACAAAATGCATGATAAAGGAATAACAGGAAAAGTTGGTAGATGGATCTACAACTTCCTGACAAAAAGAACACAAAGAGTAATAGTAAACAGAGTAAAGTCCCAGGCAGCCATGGTAAAAAGCTCTGTTCCACAAGGCACAGTACTCACTCCCATTCTATTCCTCATCCTCATTTCTGACATAGACAGAGATGTAAACCACAGCTCCATGTCTTCCTTTTTGCATGACACCCGGATTACCATGGCAGTGACCTCCATTTAAGACACCATGAGACTAAGTAGACATCAACCAAATCTTCAAATGGGCCACTCAAAACAGTATTAAGCTCAACAAGGAGAAATTTCAACTACACAGATATGGGAAACTTGAAGAAATTAAAAATGTATCAGGGTACACGACAAATTCTAACCATACAAGGACCTGGAAGTGATAATGTCAGAGGGTCTCGCCTTCAAAGACCACAACAATGTATCTACCTCATCCGCTAGGAAAATGATAGGATGGATAATGAGAATCTTCAAAACTAGGGATGCCAAGCCCATGATGATTCTCTTCAAATCGCTTGTGCTCTCTAGGCTGGAATACTGCTGTAAACTAACAGCCCCCTTCGGCTGGCGACATTGCAAACCTGGAGAGTGTCAATGCCCCCATGGCCTGGTCTGTGACCAGGCCTCATGGTGGATCCATGGCACACATAAGTACAATAAGGCACCTAAACTACTGGGAATGGTTGAAGGTCCTTGATCTGTATTCCCTCGAATGCAGGCGAAAGAGATACATGATAATATACACTTGGAAGGTCCTGGGGGAATTGGTACCAAACTTGCACACAAAAATCACTCCCTATGAAAGCAAAAGACTTGGCAGGAGATGCAACATTCCCCAGATGAAAAGCAGGGGTGCCACGAGTACATTGAAAGACAACACAAAAAGTGTCCAAGGCCCCAGACTGTTCAATTGCCTCCCAGCATACATAAGGGGGATTACCAATAGACCCCTGGCTGTCTTCAAGAAGGAACTGGAAAGGCACCTAAAGTCAGTACCTGACCAACCGGGATGTGGTTCGTACATCAGATTGTGTGCGGCCAGCAGTAACAGCCTGGTTGATCAGACCCTGATCCACCATAAGGCCTGGTCTCAGACTGGGCCGTGGGGGTGTTGACCCCCGAAACCCTCTCCAGGTAAGCTCCAGGTAAACCCTGCCAGAATGTTCTATAACGTATGCCCTAAGTAAAGAGAAACAATTCTGGAACATGTGTAATACATGTTCAGCAGGCTGGCTGGGTGGCCAGCTGGCTGGCTGGCTGATTTGCTTTGGCTGTCTCTGTCTCCTTGTGTCTGTGTGTATTTCTGTCTATCTCTGTCTCACAGGTACACATAAATATAGTTATACATAGTGTAAATTACCTAGGATAACCCAAAAAAGTGCTATAGAGTATTATGCTTTTAGATATAAGGCATAATAAGCAAGTAATACACACTTTCACTTGTTCAGGAATCAAACATGACGACTCTGCATTGTGTGTAATACCTGTTGGTTCATGAGCAGCTCTCCCTCTGAGACAGAGACAAGTAGAGAGACAGGAAGACAGAAAGGGATAAGCAGAGACAGAGATAAACATAGACAGAGCTAGACAGACAAACAGACAGACAAATAGAAACAAACAGAAAGACAAACATGTTTATGTGTAACAGTGAAAAATAAAGCCAGGGCAGTGCACAGTCATCAATTGTTACTCCACTGATGCACTGTCAGCAGTGGAGTGACACTCATCTTACACCATGCTTCAAGGAGTTTCATATACACTCCAGCATTTCTACAACATTACTGGGATCTGGCAAAAATCATTTCTTATTTATAAATACATTTTCCTTGTTTAAAAACCTGTAATGAAAAAATTGGGGTGGTTTTTAGGGGGCTGGAATGGATTAATGGCATTTCAGTTAATTTCAGTGAGGAAAACTGATTTGATATACGAGCAAATTGAGTTACGAGCTCAGTCACGTAACGAATTAAACTCATAAGTCAAGACACCACTGTACATACATACTATACTAATCATGATTAACAACAATTTTTTATGACATTTTTGTTCACAGTAATCAAAGTTCACCATAAATAAAATTAGAAAAGCTCATGCAAAACATTTAATTCATTGCATTGTTAGCACTGTATGCAGGTTACTGACATGTCCAACTAGAGCAGTTTGCATTCTTCAAGCATAAAATACCTGAAGTTAAAGGTAATTGCAGTATAACATTCATATTATAGTTTTAGAATAATGCATTATTTATTTATTAGTAGTATTTATTACTGTCATTTTGTCTTTGTATAATGATTGATGAAACCAGCAAAGTTAATAATTTCCTTTATATCAAGCCCTGAAGATACCATTGCAATGTGCAAAACAGAGTTCCTTAAACAGCTGAGAATGAGCTCCATGGTATTCTGAGTAGGTTTCCATGGGTCAGCGAGCTGCCTGCACCAAGACTATTAAAAATACTGTATCCATATAATGACAAAGCTCAACAAAAATACTCAGCATTGTTTTCTTACCCAGGTATGGATGACAGGAGTCATGGTGAGCAAATTCTCAGACTGATAGGTTATCTGGCAAATTAAGCTGAGAAATGATGGACTAAAGCATAAAAGAATCAGGAAAGTCTGTCATGTTAAGCAAGTAGTACCTTGTGACTGTCCATAGCATATGTCAAGTGCTAGGGTTGCTGAGCATTTCCACTACTGACAACAATAAGTAATATGCTTGAAATAATGACAGAACTTTTGCATAATGATATAGCTGTTAACATCCAAAGCAGTTCAACTATGATTACAATAAAAACACAGGATGTATCATCACGTATACAAAGAAAATTAAAATTATCTAAAATTGAAAATGAAGCCAGAAGGCAAGACAACAGGAGAAGTCAACATTAGCTATGTTGGCATAAAGTACGCATCATCAATTTCACCCACTTTTAGTACTATTGTAAGCCAATTCCATTGTTCCATTTGACCAAATTCTTAGCTTTTACACTATCAAGTGAGCACAAGAAACTTCCCATTCAACTGTTTAAACTACCCTACAAGTGCACAAAGGTTAGTAATCTGGCCAATTTTACACAAAATTAAAAAAAATACTAATTTAAAAATAGTCCAAAATAAACAATGGAAACATTCCTGGCACTAACATATTTCCTCTGTTCATTAGTCATGTCCCCAGGCCTCTCCTATATTACATTTGCCTTCCATTTTGAATTCTTAAATCACACAAAAACAAAAGATTTATTCTATTTCTGAGATACTAAACTATAACCAGGAACGATTGGTCATGGTTTATAGCATCTCACTAATTGAATCATACTTATTAAAAACCCATAAAACAGACTGGAGTGTAGGGGAGTCTTACCCATCTTCAGGAAAAATCTGCAAAACCAAATATTTCCACTACTTTGAGCTCAATTTCAAGACCCAATTTCAAACTACATCTTATCATGAAACCCACCAAAATCATCTCTAGAAGTATGTCTTTCATTCTATCAAGTGATACCAAAGAAACAGCTAATAAAACCATAAAAACCATCATTGTTTTTAACTGTCAAAGGCATTTTGCTCTCCAGGCTTCCTCACTTTATTGACCTCTCTCCAAAGCAGATTCTTATTCTAAGAAAAATTTGCTGGTAAAGACTAGCCCATTCTTTCATTGGTTCTACTTTTGCACTCCCTTACCACTCTTTCAACCTCCTCCTAAATAAACTCTGCCTTTCGTCTATTATTTTTACATTGCAAAAACCTCTCATAAGCTATTTTTTCTCTCCTTTACCAGCCTTTGTCTCTCATCACTTCAGCAATAATTCCTCTTACCACAATACCTACACTCTTATACTAACAAACCTTTGCTCTTCATTTCCTGCACTTTCTCTAGCCCACCTTTTCTCCAATAGTTGCAAATATCTTTCCAAGACTGCTTCCTTCTTTAATTCATTTACTTTCACTTTTCTCTTACCTACTATTGCCAGTCTCCTTGTACTCCATCTACCTCCTACCCTTACTGTAGATACCACTAAGTGATAACCTAACATATCTATTGCTCCTCTAAAACACATGTACATCCAGAGGTCTACCCATAAACTTTTCATCTACTAATACATAGTCCAACAAACTGCTCTCATTATGCCCTATATCCTATCTCATATACTTATTTACCCTCTTCGTCCCCAAATAAGTATGTATATATTACCTATTGCCAAACTTCTTTCCACACACCACTCATTTAAGGCCCCTTTTTACCTCGCCACTTTCAGTTACCCCTGGCACTCCAAACTCACTACACCATCTACAAGTGTTGCACCTACTTTAGCATTTACATTCAAACAACATTACATGTATTATAAGAAGCATGTGAGATATGTGCTAAAGCAGCCTAACACTAGAGACAAAGCATAAGCAATAAATACTGTACTCACATCGTCGAGCAGGGCAGCAGTCTCTTCACTTGCCCATGTATGATCTGCTCTCATACGTCTTCTTGGTGGGGGAGAAACTCCCTCGGGCTATGAATACCAGTAACAATGAAGCACTAGGTTAGCCTATTAACCCACTGGCTACATTTAACACTTTTTTTTTCCATTTACAGCAACAAGAAAATCAAAGAGAAAATGTACATCTACTGAAACCTACAAAATTAATTAATACCGAAGTAAAAATATCTCATTAAAATTATGCAAAAGAAATCAAAACCCAAAAATACCCAATTATTGTAATCCGGTATATCCAGATTTTTCATATTAAAGCGGGTAAGGGGGGGAGGGCTGCAGACTTATTCTAGTAGTGAATAATATTATATCATTGAGTGCTGTTTAACTTCTCTTTGATTTTCCTTATCAACAAACACAAGACCACAGAGGAACACAAGTACAGTACACAACTTCACTAATTCCAACAAAACTTTTCACAAACAACTTTTTACTGGAATGAGTCAACATACATTTTGAATAAAAGTAATAAAATGAAGTTTTTCTAAGATACTTTGAAGAAGGAAGAGGAAAACAACAACAACAAATTGGAGGGAAAAAGGAAGAATAATTATACAGGAAAAAAGAGGAGGGAGGAAGATTAGAAAGGGAAGGAAAGAGGGAGGGAGGGAGGGAAGAGGAGGAAGAGGAAGAGAAAAAGAGGAAGAAGAGAAGAGGAAGAGGAAGAGGAAGAAGGAAGAGGAAGAGAGGAAGAGGAGAGGAAGAGGAAGAGGAAGAGGAAGAGAGGAAGAGAGGAAGAGTGAAGAGGAGGAGGAGAGTGGAGAGGAGGAGGAGGAGGAGGAGGAGGAGGAGAGGAGGAGAGGAGGAGGAGAGAGGAGAGAGGAGGAGAGAGGAGGAGGAGAGAGGAGAAGGAGGAGGAGGAAGAGAGGAGGAGGAGAGGAGGAGGAGGAGGAGGGAGGAGGAGGAGGAGGAGGAAGAGAGGAGGGAGGAGGAGAGAGGAGGAGGAGGAGGAGGAAGAGAGGAGGAGGAGGGAGGAAGATAGGAGGAGGAGGAGAGAGGAGGAGGAGGAGGAGAGAGGGGGGAGGAGAGGAGAGGAGGAGGAGGAGGAGGAAGAGAGGAGGAGGAAGAGAGGAGGAGGAAGAGAGGAGGAGGAAGAGGAAGAGAGGAGGAGGAAGAGGAAGAGAGGAGAGGAAGAGGAAGAGAGGGGAAGAGGAAGAGAGGAGGAGGAAGAGGAAGAGAGGAGAGGGTAAGAGGGAAGAGGAGAGTAGGAGGAAGGAGAAGAGAAGGCATAGGATGAAAGAGGAAAAGGAGAAGTAGGGTTGAGAAGAAAAGAAGAAGTTTAGAAAAAGCAAAAGCTAGTAATGTGAGAGGAGTTTTGAGAGGCGAGAAAAATGTTGACAAGTTTCTTAGCAAATTTTTTATAGCATAAATATGCAGAAGGTACTGTGAACTAGATATAAAAAGATCATATGCTAAACTTATATACAGAGCAGTAGTCTAAGCACCAACATTAAACATGCAGATTTAGTAAATACAAAATATTACATAATTTAGTTACAAAATACAACATACACTATGTACATTGTATTCCCCATGTTGTATTTGTAGGTAATGAGGTAATGGTGCATTACAAGACCCTTCCTAACTCTTCTGTGCATTTTCCACTGACAAACATTAAATGCTGATCAGATTCATCCCAAAATAAAATGAAAAACTGTAACATTAAAATACCTCTTCAGTTAGGCTGTTAAATTCATATTTTGTGATATATAAACAAGCCACAGGTTATGGCTACATATGTTATGATCTTGTCTAAGTATGGGTAGGTAGCACCAGTATTTATATATCCCTGGCTCCATTTACATAAGAGGAACATAGGTAAAAATGTGAATACAGTAACTACTGTATTGCATCAGTTTGGTTCTTAAACAAGTATCTAGTGATAAAGAAATGAACCAAACCCCACTGGTGTTGTCATCTGGGTACCTTCCCACCACTCCTCCCTTGTTGTTAGGTAAGACACATATGCAACAGTTAGGTATCTTTATTTCGAAATGTTTCGCCTACACAGTAGGCTTCTTCAGTCGAGTACAGCAAAGTTGATAGAAGCAGAAGATACTTGAAGACAATGTAATCAGTCCATCACCCTTGAAGTTTTGAGGTGGTCAGCCCCTTAGTCTGGAGAAGAGTATTGTTCCATAGTCTGAAACAATATGGAGTTGAAGTGACAGGATGGAGCCTTATATAACACCAGGAGGTGAGATGTAGGCCACTAGTAGAGGTAAGAATGTTGTCGTTGGAAGGTCAGGTCCCTCTCAAATCCAGCCATTCTCACTAGCAGAAGTTGACAAAGTTTATTTCAGGTCTGTACCAAGATACCCTTGTGTTGCAGTGTCTGACAGAGTGAACATTAAAATGGTATAAAATACTGACAGGTTGTTAGGTAAGACACATATGCAACAGTTAGGTATCTTTATTTCGAAACGTTTCGCCTACACAGTAGGCATGTGTGTCTTACCTAATGACCACTCCTCCCTTACTCCCTCCCTTCCACTGCTCCTTCCTTACTCATTTCCACCATTCCTCCCTCACTCCCTCCCACCCACTGCTCCTCCCTCACTCATTCCCTCCCTCCCACTGCTCCTCCCTCCCAACACTACTCCAGTAATCCCTCCCTCACACCATCCCTCTCATTGTTTCTCTCTCCTCTTGTGACTTATTTAGTTGTGTAAAACCATCAAATTTTTTATGTGTTTTGAGGGCCCCAAAAAGGGTGTTTGGGGCCCAAAAAAAAAAAAAAAATAAAAACCCTTTGGGTAGTTTTAAAAAATGGTTGAACAATTATAATAAAAAGGGTTTGGGTTTGGGATGACCCTGCTTGCATGGCCTTTAACCCTTTAATGCCCCAAACGAAAGACTACTTTTACCACACCTCCAAACATAGATCAACGTTTTTTTTTTCCTGCCCCAATTTGGCACAATTGGCTGAGATGCCGGTCACGAAAGGGTTTAACATTCAGTGTGCACAGTATTAAAAAGCGGGGGACCACTTGTACCCTTTGGGAGCCCCCAGTTCAATGGCGCCAGCTAGAGTAAACACGGGGCAACACCAGGAATTCACTTAAAATGTCATATTAATGCTCCCCTTTTAAGGGGAAAAAGTGAGCTATCCTGAGTTAGTGGTTTTGAGGTGGATGTGGCCACAAGGGTCGGGAAATAAAAAAAAAAAATCAAAAATAACCATGTGAACTTTTCGATTTTGGTACCACGGTTCTCCTCCTGCCAAAATTTCATAAAACCCTATCCCCTAAGTAAGAGAAACAATTCGGGAAGTGTAATACGTGTTCGCAGGTGGTGCCCTGCGGGAAGGCCAATAGCGATTGGCTGGTGGTGGCTGGCGGTGGCTGACCGGCGGCGGCTGTTTGGCGTCTCTATTCCTTCTGTTGCCTTATTTATTTGTGTGTGGGGGTTACTCACCAGTTGTATCCCTAGTTGAGGTTGGGGGGGTCGAGTCCAAGCCCCTCCCCCACCTTTTCACTGACGCTACTAGGTCACCTCCCTGAACCATGAGTTTTATGTACTTGCAAAAGCATGTAGGACCCTGCCTCCATACATCGTTTTCCCCAAACTAAAATTTCTGTACTCTTGGCAAAAGAAATATTCCAAATCCCGTGATTACTGTTTTTCAGTTTCCCAACTGTGTCCTCTCTGGAACATCTGTCTTTCCTCCACCTTGTCAATTTCTTATATTTTGAAAGTTGTTACGTCCCCCCTTCTCTCCTGTCCTCCAGTGTCGTCGGTTTGTTTTCCCCTTAACTTTCCTCATAGGACTCCCTCTTACCCTTGGGTAGTTTTGTTGAAAAATTTTGCACTTTCTCTATTTTCTTTACATCTTGGCTAGGGGGGGTTTCCCAAACTGGGCCGATACCCCAATATGGGGCCTAACACACGGTGTACAAGGTCCGAAGTTCCTTATTAAGATGTGGGAATGCTGCTTGATTTGCCAGGGCCTTATCTGCAGCAGTTATTTGGTTGATGTGGTTCAGGAGATGTCCTGGTTTATACTCCCCCCAAGATTTTTCCCCTTGATGAGGTTTGTATCTCGGGCCCCCCTAGCTTACTCCGTTGCGGTCTTTTTGCCATTCCCCCAATCTTTGACTTGCACTTGGTGGGATTGAATTTCAGGACCCAAATTGCGGGACCGGTCTGCGCCTGTCCAATCCTTTGTGTTCTGCTGGTCTTCGATCAAATGAATTCTTTCAAAACTTCCGTCTCTGCAAACAGGGCCCCTCGGGTTTTTTCCCTTTTCCTCTGTCGTTTCACAAATACCAGAAACAGCACGGTCCTGGACTGACCCCTGTGGGACCCTGCTGTCCAGGTGCCCCTCTGACACCTCGCCACGTACCTTTACCGCTGCTTTTTTTTCCTGAAAAGTTTTCCCCTGATCCTTTGTAGTGCCTTCCCGTTTCCCGCTTGGCCCTCCAGTTTTTGCACAATCTCTTGTGTGGTACTGGTAATGCCTTCTGCGCCCAAAAAAATGCAACCCACCCCCCCCTCTCTTCTTTCTTACTGTGTCCCCTTAATAGAACCAGTGGTTTGTGACCAGGATTTCCCACCCCTGAAACCATTTTGGCTGCTTTTGATGAGATCATTCCTTTCTGGTGTTCCACCATCTTCTGACAATTTTCCTGACTCGCATATATACTGTCAGTGACACTGGTCTGTATTTTAGTCTTATTCTGTCCCCTTTTTTAAAGTTGGGACTACATTCTGTTTTCCCAAAGCCTAGGCAATCTCCCTGTTTGATAGATGTATTAATATGTTAGGGGTACACAAAGCCCTCTGCTCCTCTCTTCAGGCCCCATGGAGAGATGTTTTTTGGGCCCCCATTGCCTTTGGGTATCTAGCTCACTCAGAAGCCTCTTCACTTTTTCCCTGGTTGGGTACTGTGTCCAGACGGGTGGTGTGCCCCACCTCTCCGTTTTTTCTGGACCCCCTTCTGCCCTCTGTGAACATTTTCTTTAAATCTCTTGTTGAGTTCCTCCAACTTCACGGTATTTCTTTTTGTCTCTCCTTTT